AAAGGGGTGCACTTAACTTTTCCTCGGTGAATCACGTGAATCCTGCAGCGGGTTTCCACTCTCTTTTCTGCCAGTCACTCTCCTTCTTCCTCTGTATGATTTTCTCACCTACTTCGTTGCGCTGCTGTTCGTGGTTTCTAAAAGGACTCACTTAATGAGCATGCCTCGGGGGACCCAACATGGAACACCGATCAGGCATTAAACCTCAGCTTTCCGCACTTGCCGCCGCTCACGGTCACTGCCGCCATCCACTCGAGCACTCCTGTGGAGCTTTCCTATTGCCAGAGGATTTTCCCACCTTACTGTGCTTCAAGCCCCTCTCTTTATACTGCTTTCTTCCCGAGCACATGCTTCAATGAAGCGCTACTCACTGGCTTCAGCTGGCGCTTGTTATGATCGGCGGCCATGACAGGTAAAAACAGAGCCGGCCCGGTGTTACACCGGCATTTCTTCCCCCTGGAAACGAGTCAACCATTTTTTTGGTTCCCGGTTTGTTCACCCGGTGACAGAAAGACTGAATTACACTGTTCAACTGGTCAAAGGTAAAGAACTTATCAGCTATTAGCTTCTGGAGACACAAAGACAACTCGTAAGGCACAATTCCTTCAAACAAATCGTGCAATGCATCTGGAGGAAATCCAGTTACTGGGTGAAAGCAAGTAAGATGAGTTTGTAAGACACATTCTCCTTTTACACCTTGTACATTTGTCAGAGTTGGGTTTGCTTTCAGCTCCTCAACAAATTGGTTGTGTTGTTCTATACTTCTTAAGGGAAAAAGTCCCTTGCTCACATCAGTGGTCTGTATGTCCTTGAAAGAAGCGAGACAAAACCTACAGAACTTCTCAACACGAAAACTTTCCTGAAATCCTGCTAGGCCATGTGCCCCTAGATTGTCTGCAGAGACAGTAACGACAGTTCCTTTGACATTTTCCCCAAACTGATCTACATACAAACCCTCTATTTCAAGTTTATTTATTTGTATTTATTTATTTAATATGGACATAGCAATAACATTGGACGAACCAGATGCATTGTTTAAAGTGTTGTAGCACATGTGCTAATTTTCAACACCTGTCCATAGGGGCTTTTACAACATATAAAAACACATTAAGCAAAACAAGGCACATTTTACACATGAGTACAACTTTGGCCCGATTTAAGCCACAGTTTGAGCTCTCTGGTAAAGATGTTAATATTGTTCTGCAGTTTGAGTCCAATTGGGAGAGAGTTCCATAGTGTACCCCCTTTGAAGGAGAAGCTAGACTGTCCAAAAGATGTTCTGAACTTTGGTAGCACACAATCCCCACTAACTGAGGCTCTGCTGGAAGGTCTAAAAGAGCCCTGACGCCTCTCCATGAGGCCAGAGAACAGCGGTGACACACAGTTGTTCAAACATTTAAAAGTCAATTTCAAAATACTAAAATTTTACAAAATTTTCAAAAGTAAAAAGCTTGTGCTTTTGTATGATATCACAATGATGCCATATCATAGGTTTCTTGTCAAATATCTTAATTGCCTGTTTATATAGAGAAGTGACTGATTTCAGAGTGGACGCTGATGTTTGTGGCCATGCTGTAATACAGTATGACAAATGTGAAAAAAACATTGCATACATAAACAATAAAGCCACGTGATGTAACAACTCTCCTCAAATAAAACGAAAACAGTTTAGATTTGATTTGACTTTCCTACAAACAGTTTACTTGACTTTGAAACTTCAGATGTTTATCTATTATAATGCCCAAATATTTCGTTTCATGAACCTCTTGAATGGGTTCATGGTCTAAATAAACTTCAAAGATGCTGTCAGGGGACCTCCGGTTGATAGAAAAACACATTGAGAAGGTTTTCTGAACATTTAAAGTTAAATGGGACAGCTGAAGCCATCTTGAGATGTTATGTAAAGCCTTTGTTAACTGCTGCCCAGCCAGCACAGTTGTTTTTGCTGACACATGGATAACTGTGTCGTCAGCATAAAGCTGGCAGTTTACACCCTGGCAGCAATCTGGGAGATCGTTTATATACATTGAAAACAACAACGGTCCTAGTACTGACCCTTGGGGCACTCCTAGGTCATTTGGACTCAGATTGGATTTTACAGTTCCTACTTTCACACATTGTTCTCTACCCTCCAGGTAGGACTTGAACCATAACAGAGCTGCATTTGAAAATTCAAATTGCTGTAATTTCTGCAATAAGATACAATGGTCCACTGTGTCGAAGGCCTTCTTCAGATCTAAAAACACAGCGCCTACGATATTCCCTTTGTCCAGTGCACCTTTAATCTGTTCAACCAAGAAGCAGTTGGCGGTTTCTGTGCTGTGTTTTTGTCTGAACCCAAACTGCTGGGGATGCAACAATTGGTTATTTTCAAGATGTTCAATTAATTGCTCCGCCACAATTGTTTCCAGCACTTTGGAAACGACAGGGAGAATAGAAATAGGCCTGTAGTCGCAGGCTTGGTCTTTATTGCCTGACTTATAAATTGGAGTGATTACAGCAGTCTTCCAGCTCTGTGGGAAAGTGTTTGTTTGTATTGACAAGTTTACAAGGTGAGTAATGGGATCGAGTAAACTGCTTAGATGTTTTTTAATTAGAGCTACATTAACCTGTTAAGCTGCAAGCCCACTTTTGAAAAATCCCCAGAAATGGCATTCCCAAACTGAAACAGATACAGTTCATGAACCCTTTGCACTAAAAGCACAAGTATGATCTCATTTGAAAGCTGACACCTGGTAGTTTATTGTAAATGTATAATTAATTATTGTCATAATGAATTTTTTTTTTTTTTAAATAGCTTCAAAGTTTTGTAAAGTTATTAGAAATTTATTTTTATGAAACATCTTCATGAAAATAAAATTGAAGTTGGCCCTGGAGCAATCTAGAAATGCACTGCAGCTAAAGCCATATGTGTGACCATTTTATATTTAAAATCTGAAAATGACAAGTCTAAAACTCTGTATTTAGTTAAATGTTTTTCAAGATCATGTCAAATTACTTTATTTTGATTAGACTCAGAAGATGACTAAACATCAGTTTGCATTTTAGAGTCATCTATTCAGTCTAATGTCTCTATTGTTTTGTGGTCCAAACGAGCCTCATTCAGTCTCATTCTCCCCTGCACACATTTACACCTCTCCAGACTGGTTATGGCTCTAAATATGCATTTCTTTTGTCTGCATTATAGCTACTAACGACTGGCTATTCACAGGCTATTCATAGGGTTTCAAACCCTAATTTCTTTTATCAAAGTTCTCACTAAATATTTGAAACTGGTATCAAATGCACTGAAACATTTCAGTAAGCATTCCTATTTAGAAAAAAATCATAAAACAATAACTGCTGTTAGCAGGTGCACCTGGGCTAGCTAGCATGTTAGCTTAGCACACCATCAATACACGACCATTTATGAGATTAAAACCATGTTTGTTAAAGGCTGTAAAGCAGAAATAATTGACTGTCGTTGCAACTTTTCCACATATAATGAACTTGTTTTGGCACTATAAATAGTTTTTCCTTTATTCAGGTTCTTCCATCGACTGAAATACCAATTCTTATCTGGGATAAGAAATCGGCGTTTGGATGACTTGCTTGACGTCCTTCTTTGCAAGACAGAGACTTACTTTCAGGTGATAAAACACTTGCAATCAGCAGGAAGTTCCAAGAACTGTGTTGCCATGAAGTTGGAGGAAACATTTAACAAAGCAACTAGAATGATGGAAAAAGGCTGGATTGACCACATTACAAGATAATCATCAGAAATATATGTGTATAATGTGCCATCCGAACAAGACTCCTCACTTTCCGATAGAACCTGCCCAGCAGAGTGTTTCTGCAGTTGCCCTGTGGGTTTGAAAGGTGAAGTATGCAAACATTTGGTGTTGCTAGATATACTCAAAGATAAGGATGATGCATTCTCTGAACTTACTCTTCAGCTGGAAGCTCATGCAAGAGCTGTACAAGACAAAGGTCACTTCAGTATCTGTTCTGAGGTGAAGATGGAAATCGACGTGGAAAGCCTTTGTGGGAGAGGAACATATCATACAGATTTGGAAACATATTCTTGTACCTGTTGCACATTCTCATATCATGGCATATGTCCCTGCCTTATTTTAGCACAACAGTTGTTTGGCATGACCATTAATGAAAAAAAGTGCTGTTCTGTGAATTAATCAGACAATGCTGATGTGTATTTTGAGAAACAAGACACAAGTTCAGACTTCCGGAGACTAGAAGATGTTCTTGAAATTGTCAAAAGATGGCAGACTGTCCCAGAGAGCATCAAAAGCCAAATAAATGATCTCTATGTTAACGTGCAACAAGAAGACAGAAGTCTTTTGTCGAAAAGGCATTGCACCATTGACACTTCAAGGAAGATACAGCCACTCTTCCCATGCAATGCAAAAAAACAGAAAAAAGACTTCCAAGGTTTCCAAGAAAACTTCTGACACAAATTCAGAAGGGTTTAAAAGAAGAAAGAGACAACTAAACAAGAAAGAGAAAATTAAAGAAAACGTGAATACAGAATTGGGTGCAGAATACCTTGTATGAAATTTGGGTATCAAATGAAGAGCTGATTTTAGTGTGGCCAATTTTTTTGTGTCAATGTTAATTTCTAAACAATACTGTTTTCGGAAGAATTTGCAAAGCTGTTTTCAATGTAATGTATTTTGTGTGCTAAAAAGTAATTCTGTCAATGTAAATTTGATATTTTAGATCTATTATTAATTACAGTTACAGTACCATTGCAATGTGGCTAGATGACATGTGGTATGTTTCTGTTTATAAGGAATTAAACGTCATTCATCCAATACAATTTTTTTAATATCCACATATTAAAGATGTAAGAAACTTTACACTGAGCATATTGATATAATAAAATTATTAATATAAGGGTATTTTACAGAATTAAAAGACCCCTACTGATTCAATTAGTTCTCAGTTATAAACAAAACGTCAAACATAGAAGGTTATTGTCAGATTTAACAACCTTAGTGCTGCATTTGAAATGTATTTGTTCTGCTTTCATTTTAGACTCTCTGAGATGAAGCCTAACACTCCATCCACTGCTTGTGGACCAAATGTGTGGGTTAATAAACTGAAAGCTGATCTAGAATCCAGGCTTGATTGCAAGTTGGCACGTACACTAGCCAGAGTTGTCCTTTAATGAAAAGAAAAAGGTGAAACAGTTAATAAAATCACATCAAATATCATAAACGTACACAGTAGCTGTGCATTAAGAAAATATACTGTACCTGGTCACTTCTGCATTGTGGTCACTTATGTCTTTACGTACCAACTTTGGGCTGACATTTTGACACAGGCTTTTAGTTAAACCAGTGGCAAGGTCTGAAGCCTCGCCCTCTGTTAGTGCACTAAAAATGCTTGTCTTAGTCTTCATTTTCTTGGGAAGATTGAGGACTAATTCAGGGAGATTTTTTTTGCGCCCCTTAAGAAAAATGAACAGTAGTGCTTTAGAACTAAAATGAAATTAATAGAGAGATGAAAACAAATATAAAACATAACTGATAACTTAATATATCGACCTTATCAATTTAAAAATCAACTTACTCCTAGCAGATCTCTGAAAACATTAGAGGACATATTCTCCCCTTCTATTCTGCGCTGAATTTCTTCTTTTGTGACAACATACGGGGACTTTCTCTGACCAGTGAGGACTAAGCGTCCAAAAACTTTGATGTCTTTAATGTCGTCTGTGGGGTTATTCAAAGGACAATCTCCGCTGTCTCTTGCCTCTATTTCCTCATTTTCAAAACCTGCATCCTTGCCAGTGTCAAAGGTTTGTGGCTGTCTTTCTTCCTCGCTGTCTTGCTTTCCCCCCCTATCTGGTGCATCACTTGCCTTTCTTTATTTACACTTTGATTTTTTTTTTTTTACTTCCACTTTTTCTGTTTTGTGAGTTTCCCTATTCTCTTATTCTTCTTGTTTCCTCTCATCATCTGGAGGTCTTCTTGTGCTTTCCTCTGTCTGCTTACTTTCTCCTTTTTGTAGATGTTTAAACATAGTGTTTCCTTCACCTGCTATTTGAAGCATCAGCATAAACAGCAATGCCATTTGAATCTCAGGAGGAATAATTATTACATCTATAGAAAACATTAAAATGGGTGTACAACTAAACTTGTACTGGGATACATCATCCTCTATACATCTACAATTTGTGGACTCTACCAACAGTTCTGAAGTCATACATTATAAGGAACAGACCAAAACAAAACTGATTATTAACTAATAACATTCCCCTCTTACTTCAGCAAAACATACACTTATAACTTTCTGAGATTTGTCTAAATGCATAATTGTATATTTTTTTAGTTGCTAAGACAAGAGCTGATGTAAAAAGATAGCATGCACACAAAATTGGTAATGAAAAAAGTGCGTCACCAGAGGTCAAATACCTTCAGTAGTCAAAGCACTATTAGACTATTGAAAAGACTGTTCCAGAAACAAACTGTACAGCACTGCATAACATGCATATAAACATACCCTTATTCAAACTGCCCATTCAATTTAAAAAATATCCTTAAATTTGCTTTGAAATATAGTATGTAACATAAGATACTTGTTTTGATTTTTGTGGGAGTTTCACCGCAGTTTCCACAACTTGCTCTTTTAGCCTGCACATTTTATACAGTGTGTTGAATAGCTGTTTGTTCTTGGAATTGAAATTACTTACAAATTACACAGATGCCACATGGTTTTCGCTGACATCTCAAATGGCTGTGTGCACCGCATTCCTGACAGCACACCTAAAAGTGAAACAATGCTTGGTTGCCTGCAATTAATTACAGTATCAAACAGATTCTTCTATTTACCTTCTCTTTCATCAGGACACTCCAGCACACTGTGCACTTTACTCCTCTATCTGCAGGGAAAAAAAATCATATATTAATAATCAAATGAGTAGTTTTGCCTTGGCCATGAGATATTAATTTGTCCATGAGATAATTTTGTTGAGGTAGTGACATTCTTATTGTCACGAGGTGGCAAGGAAGAGGAGAAGCAATGATCCAAAACCGATCGGTCTGTGCAGCGCTGCTTCACGTTGAACATATACAAATATGTCTTTCTCTCAACTTAGGATCTTGAGGCCACAATTTCACATTGCATGGCCAGAACATAAGGAATAAGGATGTTGTTAAAAATATCTTGTGGTCATGACATATCACATTCTCACTCATTATTATTAATTAATTAGCCATTGCCGCTGTCGCTTCTCACCTCTGGCTTGCTTAGTTGGAGACATTTAATATTCAATAATATTATTGATCTGCCTTCATTGACACCATTGATTAAGAACTGAACTGAGCTGGACGATGACGTCACTGTTTCTCCAGAGCTGATAGATAAATTAACTGAATTAAGAACTATTTTCTTCTAGAGCATAGGTCGGCAACCCGCGGCTCTAGAGCCGCATGCGGCTCTTAAGCGCCGCCCTAGTGGCTCCCTGGAGCTTTTTCAAAAATTTGAAAATGGAAAAAATATTTTTCGTTTTAATATAATTTCTGTAGGAGGAAAAACATGACAAATATTCTTAAAGTTTTTCAACGTTGTAAAAATGTGTATGATAAATATTTAATTTCAACATTTCTGTCACTGAAGAATTTACGTCATAGACTGTGACACACGTGTCTGTCAGATCGGCGTGATGCCAGACCGGTGGCTGACAAACAAACAAACAAACCGGCGGGTGTGTCATGGGCCATGGATCCCAAGGGGAAAAAGAGAAAGATAGCTGAGCACTCCCAACGCACTCTAGTGGCGGCGCGGGACTAGATTTGATGGCCGAGCGCGGGCGCGGGCGCGTGCGGTAATGCACTCACTCTACTACAACAAAATAGAAACGATTTACAGGCCAGAATTTCTATTCATAACGTGTTTGCAGCGTTGAGCGATATAGCCAATCACAGACATAAGTGTTGATTTCTTGAACGCAATGGCCAATCAGAAGGATTTAAGATAGACTCCCCTCACCGCTCAAAACTGACTTTTCTGTTCAGTGCTGAATTCTGTATGCTGGCAAATCCTTCAATTATAACGAACAACGTGTGGATATTATGAAAGATTCATTGTGCAGTCAGCTTCATTGATAATAACAGAGATGTGTGAGATCGCGATGAACTGTCAGCTTTTTAGGAATTATTAAGAGAGCGCACTTTGCGCGCATTCAGTCATGGCAAACCATGCACGCAGTAAACTGCTTGCTTTTATGTTAAATTAACAGTGGTTTGTGTTTTAATGCTTTAATAACAAATAATTTATCAGGAGGATGTATGGTGGCGACACGTAGGCTAACTTGAAAGTATTTGGAGGTACAGAAAAAAGTCTTTTTGCGGGCGGGAGCGGGACAAAACATAAATGTTGCGGGCGGGAGAAAGAAAGTTGAGAACGTCAGTTATAACGACCCACGCATTAAAAAATGGTCGGGTTAAAATCGGGCTCTGGCTCATAATTACGTTAAATGTGTCGGGCCGGGCTTGATTTTTTGGGCCCGTTCTAAGCTCTAATTTGTAGCCTACTTATCATTTTGATACTAATAAAGCTAATATAACACTTACAGCATGTGTTGCCTTCATTATAAGGCTTATATAAAGCTTTTCATTTTTTGCGGCTCCAGACAGATTTTTTTTTCAGTCGTTATAACTGACGTTCTTTTTTTTTTGGGTCCAATATGGCTCTTTCAACATTTTGGGTTGCCGACCCCTGTTCTAGAGCTACAAAAAAATTACAGCCAAAATTATGTTCCCTCTAGCAATGTAAAGCTGCTTTGACACAATCTGCATTGTAAAAAGTGCTATATAAATAAAGGTGACTTGACTTGATCTAATATCTCATGGTCACGACCAAACTAAGTGAACCGAATGTCCCCCCAAATTTATAAAATGTATGTTTTGCTTTAGTTTTTATGAAAGTGAGCACCTAAAGAGGAAAACAGAATGTTGCAGAACTGTGCCCTCAGCTGGGGTATATCCACGGAGGCATATCCATCCACGAAACCTTTTCCCTCAAGCAGGGCCTGAGCAAACTAAAATATAAATTAAGTTAAGTGGGCATTTTAAATACTTTATCAGAATGCATAAAAATAAAAGTACATCGACCAATTTTAGAAAATTAGAAAAAAATACCATTAGCACATGGACCCCACAAGAATGTCCATCCTCTTGTCGGGGGTGGGGCACATCATTCCTTGTCCATTTTAGGGCACATCCTTTAGCTTTGGCAAAATAACTGAAAAAAAAAGCTTAAAATTAGGTCTTTGTTCTGAATGTACATGTAGTGTTGATACAGTATGTTGTTGTTTTTTCATATGCTTGGTCATTTAAGGTAATGTTTCACTATTATACTAAAATCCATTAATCATTTTGTTGTGTAGCAGGACTTTAAAAACAACACACTTTGGCAAGTATCAAGTACTAACTAAATGAAAGTAGACCGTAGACCTCTCTAAAAGTTTAACCCCTTAACTGTCACCTTCCCGGTACCGGGACGCCTACGTTTACTTCACTAAAATAGATATTTTAGCACTGTTTTTTGTTACAAATTATGTAGGAACTTATGAATTTATGACAAGAGTGCACCTCAAAAAAATCTACATCATAACAGGAGTTCTGACCCTTGTCAGAACTCGATGCACACATTTTTAATAATTTAAACTTTGGTTTTAATGCTAAAAGTTCATAATAAAACATAACCTAGTATTTGTCAATGAAAAATTATAAAATAATATTATCCTCTAAAAAGTATAATATATCCTCTAAAACATAATATTATAATAAAATATCACCTTTTTTATTACATCTCATATTTTAGTAGTTATCATAAATTAGGTATCATTTGAAAGCTTACGAACTCAGAATTCATCCTGTGAAAACCGTTTTCAAATTGGACATTGCGTTACCATAGTTTATCGGGCTGCTCCCCTTTTGGGCGTCATCATGTTTCATAATTTATGATCAAAAACTTTTCTAATCTTGACAAAACACATATTGTCAGAAAGGTCTGAGTCTCAATGTTTCCATATTTTGTGAAAGAAGTGATATTTGGACAGACATGTTAAGGCAGAATGCATACAATTCGATTGGAATGTATGTCACCAGGTGGCTTTTTTTATATTACGCCTAAACAAAATCTCATGGGAACTTCAATTTTTGTGTTATCTACTTCAAATTTGGAACACAACTTGGTAAGATATATGGCTTTGATTTTATAGTAAAAAATAAAATAAAGGGGGGTGAGAGACATTGAGCTTCCCAGGCACTATACCCATCTATATAACTCAAGACGATATAGAACTTAGTCAGGGTAGTGACATTTAGCATTTTGTGTATGAATGTGTGTATGTGTGCCTGTCAAAAGATCGGAAACATTACAACATTTTATTTTTTTAAGTTTCTTCTGCTCATCAAGGCTGCATTTATGTAAGAACGGTAATGTTGTGAAATATTATAACAATTTAAAATAATTGTTTTCTATAGTAATACAATTAAAAAGGTAATTAATTCCTGTGATGCAAAGCTGAATTTTAAGCATCATTAAATATTGTTATGAGACCGTAAAGGCATCATTTTCAAAAGCTTGTGTTTTCAGGCTCCCAAAACGCTGTTGTCATGTAAATGAACGGCCAAACGGACCAAATGATTACAGCCTTGAAATAAAGAGATACTGTCAAAATCTAAAGGTTATTATTTGTTAATCTACTACCTCCAATTCTTCAGAATCTCGTTTTTCTTTCCATTGGCTTCACCAAATGGATCCATGTATGTGACTTCTTGTTTTGTGAGGTCACAGAACTACAAAATAAGATCAGAAAATTAGTAGATTAAAAGAATCAATCATCAAATACCAATCCTAATGTGTAATTTTATTTAATTTATTTTTAAAGTTTGCGCAAGGTAACAGTCAATTGTAAGAAATAATAGTTCCCTTTCAGTCGAGAACGTCAGACGTAGTCGACATCGACTGAATGGGGATCATGCTAGGGAGCCTATCGTTTTCGAGTATCTTTAGAACGAGCCAATGCACATTGGCGTGCGAGATCTGCATCTCACACTCCGCCCCGCAGTGCGGGTATAAATACGGAAGTAGATGCACGCACCATTTGCCTTTCTCTTCAGAGCCGAGCTTTATGTTCAGGTCTTCTGAAGAGTGTTGTTATACAATGAGCGAGTGTGTCGTAGCTTCTTCTGGAAGTCTCTTCTGGAAGTGTTGGTGTTTACAGCGCAAGTGCAGCTGTGATCGCAAGCTTTCGAGGTCTCAACTGCTGTTCTCATAACACCCAAATTTCTGTTTGTGTTGGATGATTGGTATCTCGAGATGGGCCGTGCTGGTTCTCAGCCCGCCGCCCCAGTACCCTTCTTTCCCGAAGTGCATGGAGAGCTTACTAGATCGTGGATGGCACCTTTTACTGCCGAAAACTGCCTGAGTGGTTCTTCCCCCCTCGCTACCTTTAAGGGAGGAGCGGTTATGAGGCTATCCCTCCAGTGGAGCGGTCTATTGCGACACACCTGTGTCCAACGGCTGCTGCATCTGGGGGATCCTTGTCTCCCCTCGCAGGCCTGTGAGCTCGCGTCAGGTTTGACCATCAGAGCTTACAAAGCTTGCGGGCAAGCCGCCGCCTCATTGCATGCCATGGCGTTGTTGCTGGTCTATCAGGCCAAGACACTCATGGACATGCACAAGGGTAGTCTAGTGCATGCACTCATGAGTGAGCACTCAGGGGCACGAGTGTCACAGCGTGCGTGGTCGGTCTAGTGATGTCCACCCTAGTGGTCCAAGAGCGCCATCGTTGGCTCAGCCTGATTGAGATGGCGGATGCGGACAAGGTTTGGTTCCTGGACTCCCCAATTTCCCAGGTTGGGTTGTTCGGCGACGCAGTGGAGAGCTGCACCCAACAGCTCTCCGCCGCTCAACCGCAGATGGAGGCCTTCGGACACACCCTGCCCCGGCGGCCCGCTGTTGCTTCCACCCCGCCGCCAGTGGCAGTTCATCTGCATTCGCCTTCTTATGCAACCCTTATTGCGCCATGGAGACAGGTAAGTGTTGTGACGTACACTCAGACCCTGCTTCGGGTCACCCCTGTGCCTTCCGAGCCGGGTCCCTGTTCTCCACCTCGCTGCCCCACCTCGGGTACATCTGTGGTCTTCTGGGCCTGGTTCGTAGAAGCGGAAAAGGTTTCCGAACCGTTCCGGACCAGACCGTGACCATCAGACTCGGCTATGCGATTCATTATCACTCTGCCCCTGCTCAAGTTCAGTGATAGTCATCACACTTAGGTGTTGACCAGATATGCTCCTGAAGCTCAGTGATATTCATCACACCTAGTGTTGAGCAGTGCTCCTGTCTTGTCCGCGCATGTCACTGTCCTACTGACGAAGGATGCGATATAGCCGTTCCCTCCAGCCGATATGAAGGCCAGTTTTTGTAAACTCGTTCTTCATGGTACCTAGTATGTGGTGGGTCGTGACCATCTTGGACCCGTGCATTGGCTCGTTCTAAAGATACTCGAAGACGATTGGCTCCCTAGCATGATCCCCATTCAGTCGACGTCACGCGAACAAGAACGTTCTATTGCATTTAGTCTGGTATGGTTTCCTACTGAACCAAGCCTGGCGTATTCAGAACGTTATGATTTGGCCTACTTACAAAAAGGGTCCAGTGATTTTCATTTTCCAGGAGGGCACCAATAACTTCAGTGTAGGTTTTAAATAGGTCTTTCTGGAAAGATATAATTATTAATTGAATCAAAAGAAGTTTTACGTGGAACATCATGTCTTCTTCTTTTAAAGGGGCTCTAGGAAAATTTAAAAAACTCTTGTTATTAGCGACAAATGTGGCCATGAAGTGAACTCCAGCCAGCAACTTATTGCTTGTGCTTGCGGTCGTGCTCGCAATCCATAGTTATTCGAGCAAGACTTGGCCAAAACAGTAGCCGACATCATGTCGACAGATGACGTTCATTAAAATTACACTGTTAAGATAGGTTCCTTTGGATTTTTCCGGGAAACCGCCCTGAGTCGTTAAAATCAGAATAGAGACTTTCATAGACAACCTATGAAGTTGGGAAAGGTCTCTTTTTTTAAAGTTTCACTACAGTGCCTCAGTTCACAATAAAAATAAAATAAACAAAATGATTTATACATGAAAATTCTTACGTATAGCCCCTTTAAAATAATATAAGGCTGAAGGTTGTAACTTTTTCAAAGTTAAAACATTCTCCTTTTGCAGCCGAAAATGCAGTGACAATTTAGTATGCAAACCATTTGTATGATGATTCTGATGCAAACAATTACATAATCCTAATTATAAAATAGTAATATTCAAAAATAAATGGAAAATGGTCAAAGACAAAATACTTTTGCCCGTAATGTTTAATTTCGATAATGTTTCCATATTTCTATTTTGCACTCCACATCAGGGAGTACAGTCTGAATTTAGCACCTTGCTAAATTCAGACTGTATGTCATGTACATTCACAGTGCCTCAGTACTAGGTAAGCACTGCATCTGCAGTGCACAGCATAAATGAGTAAATCTGAACAAATACAAAAGATGTAGCTTTTGCTGGCTCTGAAACACTCGCTTTGTATTTCTCCTGCTGTTTGTCAAGCAAAAATCACTCATCACTAAATGAAAGCTTAAAATTAAGGCCTGATTATTTCAGGGTCCCCGTCACCAGTCCATTATTTTATTTATTTCTGTTCATTTTGCTATATTTTCACACTTAAAACACTGTCCACTTTTGTGCTAAAAAAAATAAGTCTCCTGACAGTTCTCTCCCAAGTGGTACCATTGTTGTCAGAATTACTGTAAGTCTGAGAATGATTCAGTGGGCTATATAACACTTTTAATTGTCAAGAAATTACTTCTCTTTAAATGTTTTGGTTCAACATACATACCCGTTGATCAAAAATTGCCTTTAATTGACACCAGAATTTTTTATTTATTTTTTAGGAGTAACTTTCAGGAGGGTGTACTTATTTTTGCAACACAACATTTTATCACTTATAAGATAAGAAAATCTTATTTTCCTGAACAGTTGTGTCATGCTTCTTTGGTAATTGATCAAGAAGACTTCCTGGGACATTATATCTCCAAAGAACCCTAACATGTCTTCCAAGTAAAGAGTAATTGCGGAATTTGTTAAGTTTTAGATACTTATTTATGCTATGCACAAGCCCTGGAAGATTCCACCTTGGCTCATTTTTTTTTTTTTAAACTATCAGTTGCTATTCCATGCTAGAATAACATTAGAATCTGCAGCTTTAATATTTAGATGGGCAAAAGTCTTTGATTGCATTTTTTTATGTTAGATCATATATTCTTAGGTTTGTAAATATTATTTACTGCACCTTGCAGAAGTAGTGGCTTTTAACCCTCTGCGATCCAGACAGAATCTTAGTCATGGATTGTGTACAAATATTGTACACATCCTTGAATTTCTTAGGGGGAAAAGGAAAAGCAGATAAATACATACATATATACATACATACATACATACAGACATACATTATATATTTCATACCTTGCAGGTGATACTCATGAGAGCATCCATTACCTATTGATAATAACTGTAGTTAGAACCTGAAAAAATCATCAAATTCTAAAATACACCTGCAATTAATAAATACACTAATAGCTCACCACATCTGGTATGTAGCCTGGCTCATACAGTGCTTTTAAATGGGCAGCTGAAAGGCTATTTGGCCCAACACAGCCCACTAAGGACTCCCAACGTTGATCTGTATAAAGGGTATGTATATAAAAGTCACCTGCACAATTTTAAAAGGGTAAGTATGTATATGTGATACAGAATGTGCACCCTTACCAGTCATGATGAATCATACGTTAAAAGCTGGAAAACAAGAATGTCACAGTCCATTAGGAAGTTTTTCTGTTAACAATTTAAAGGGGCTATATGTAAGAATTTTCACATATTTATCACTTTTTTATTGCCAATGTTTATTATGAAGCTTTAAAAACGAGACCTTCCCTGACTTCCTAGGTTGTCTGTGTAAGCCTGTAGACTGATTTTTATGATTTTTTCCCCTTTTTTGAAGGGAAAATCCAAAATGAACTATCATAACAATCATAATTTTATTGACGATCATCTGTCAACAATGTCGGTAAATTATATAGAAACATGGGTTAAGCTAATTAATTATATAAATGAAGGCAAAAGTATCCTAAAAAAATTACCAGACACTGTAAAAAGTGACTTCAGTGCAGGGTGCAGCATAACTAAGTTATTTATCCTTGAACTAAGTATTAAGATTTACAGTTACAATTACAGTAGCGCTTCCTACAATACAAAATATTAGATTTAGATTTAATCCATCACTGTAATAAATAATAAAACGCAAAGATTTCAATTAACTTATGATTTGACTAACTACAGTAGAAATGGTATGTTGGAGAATTTGCTTACCATGCTAATTTATGGAAATCATGAATGGTCCTGGATCAACATTAGTGAATCTACCCCATATTGAACTGACCTTGATTGTCCTGGATCACCATTAGCAAATCTACCTCGTATTGAACTGACTATGATGGTCCTGGATCAACATTAGCGAATCTACCCCATATTGAAGTGACCATGATGGTCCTGGATCAACATTAGCGAATCTACCCCATATTGAACTGACTATGATGGTCCTGGATCAACATTAGCAAATCTACCTCGTATTTAACTGACTATGATGGTCCTGGATCACCATTAGCGAATCTACCCCATATTGAAGTGACCATGATGGTCCTGGATCAACATTATCGAATCTACCCCATATTGAACTGAGTATGATGGTCCTGGATCAACATTAGCAAATCTACCTCGTATTGAACTGACTATGATGGTCCTGGATCAACATTAGCGAATCTACCCCATATTGAAGTGACCATGATGGTCCTGGATCAACATTATCGAATCTACCCAATATTGAACTGACTATGATGGTCCTGGATCAACATTAGCAAATCTACCTCGTATTGAACTGACTATGATGGTCCTGGATCAACATTAGCGAATCTACCCCGTATTGAACTGACTATGATGGTCCTGGATCAACATTAGCGAATCTACCCCATATTGAACTGACTATGATGGTCCTGGATCAACATTAGCAAATCTACCTCGTATTGAACTGACTATGATGGTCCTGGATCAACATTAGCGAATCTACCCCGTATTGAACTGATCATGATGGTCCTGGATCAACATTAGCGAATCTACCTCGTATTGAACTGACCATGATGGTCCTGGATCAACATTAGCGAATCTACCCCGTATTGAAGTGATCATGATGGTCCTGGATCGACATTATTGAATCTACCCCATATTGAACTAACTATGATGGTCCTGGATCACCATTAGCGAATCTACCCCGTATTAAAGTGATCATGATGGTCCTGGATCACCATTAGTGAATCTACCCCGTAATTGAAATAATCATGATGGTCCTGGATCAACATAAGCAAATCTACCCCATATTGAACTGACTATGATGGTCCTGGATCACCATTAGCGAATCTACCTCATATTGAAGTGATCATGATGGTCCTGGATCACCATTAGCGAATCTACCTCATATTGAAGTGATCATGATGGTCCTGGATCAACATTAGCGAATCTACCCCGTATTGAAATGATCATGATGTCCTGGATCAACATTAGCGAATCTACCCCATATTGAGCTGACCATGATGGTCCTGGATCAACATTATCGAATCTACCCCGTATTGAATTGATCATGATGGTCCTGGATCAACATTAGCGAATCTACCCCGTATTGAACTGACCATGATGGTCCTGGATCAACATTAGCGAATCTACCCCGTATTGAAATGATCATGATGGTCCTGGATCAACATTAGCGAATCTACCCCGTATTGAAGTGATCATGATAGTCCTGGATCAACATTAGCGAATCTACCCCGTATTGAAGTGATTATGATGGTCCTGGATCAACATTAGCGAATCTATCCCGTATTGAAGTGATCATGATGGTCCTGGATCAACATTAGCGAATCTACCCCGTATTGAAATGATCATGATGGTCCTGGATCAACATTAACGAATCTATCCCGTATTGAAGTGATCATGATGGTCCTGGATCAACATTAGCGAATCTACCCCATATTGAACTGACCATGATGGTCCTGGATCAACATTAGCGAATCTACCCAGTATTGAAGTGACCATGATGGTCCTGGATCAACATAAGCGAATCTACCCCATATTGAACTGGCCATGATGGTCCAGGATCAACATTAGCGAATCTACCCCATATTGAACTGACCATGATGGTCCTGGATCAACATTAGCGAATCTACCCCATATTGAAGTGACCATGATGGTCCTGGATCAACATTATCGAATCTACCCAATATTGAACTGACTATGATGGTCCTGGATCAACATTAGCAAATCTACCTCGTATTGAACTGACTATGATGGTCCTGGATCAACATTAGCGAATCTACCCCGTATTGAACTGATTATGATGGTCCTGGATCAACATTAGCGAATCTATCCCGTATTGAAGTGATCATGATGGTCCTGGATCAACATTAGCGAATCTACCCCGTATTGATGTGACCATGATGGTCCGGGATCAATATTATCAAATCTATGATGGTCCTGGATCAACATTATCAAATCTACCCCGTATTGAAGTGATCATGATGGTCCTGGATCAACATTAGCGAATCTACCCCGTATTGAAATGATCATGATGGTCCGGGATCAACATTATCGAATCTACCTCGTATTGAAGTGACCTTGATGGTCCGGGATCAACATTATCAAATCTACCCCGCATTGAACTGATCATGATGGTCCTGGATCAACATTAACGAATCTATCCCGTATTGAAATGATCATGATGGTCCTGGATCAACATTAGCAAATCTACCCCGTATTGAAATGATCATGATGGTCCTGGATCAACATTAGCGAATCTACCCCGTATTGATGGTCCTGGATCAACATTAGCAAATCTACCTCGTATTGAACTGACTATGATGGTCCTGGATCAACATTAGCGAATCTACCTCGTATTGAACTGACTATGATGGTCCTGGATCAACATTAGCGAATCTACCCCGTATTGAAGTGATCATGATGGTCCTGGATCAACATTAGCGAATCTACCCCATATTGAACTGACCATGATGGTCCTGGATCAACATTAGCGAATCTACCCAGTATTGAAGTGACCATGATGGTCCTGGATCAACATAAGCGAATCTACCCCATATTGAACTGGCCATGATGGTCCAGGATCAACATTAGCGAATCATATCCCGTATTGAAGTGATTATGATGGTCCTGGATCAACATTAGCGAATCTATCCCGTATTGAAGTGATCATGATGGTCCTGGATCAACATTAGCGAATCTACCCCGTATTGAAGTGATTATGATGGTCCTGGATCAACATTAGCGAATCTATCCCGTATTGAAGTGATCATGATGGTCCTGGATCAACATAAGCGAATCTACCCCGTATTGAAATGATCATGATGGTCCTGGATCAACATTAACGAATCTACCCCGTATTGAAGTGATCATGATGGTCCTGGATTAACATTAACGAATCTATCCCGTATTGAAGTGATCATGATGGTCCTGGATCAACATTAGCAAATCTACCCCGTATTGAAATGATCATGATGGTCCTGGATCAACATTAGCGAATCTACCTCGTATTGAACTGACCATGATGGTCCTGGATCAACATTATCAAATCTACCCCGTATTGAAGTGATCATGATGGTCCTGGATCAACATTAGCGAATCTACCCCGTATTGAAATGATCATGATGGTCCGGGATCAACATTATCGAATCTACCTCGTATTGAAGTGACCTTGATGGTCCGGGATCAACATTATCAAATCTACCCCGCATTGAACTGATCATGATGGTCCTGGATCAACATTAACGAATCTATCCCGTATTGAAGTGATCATGATGGTCCTGGATCAACATTAGCAAATCTACCCCGTATTGAAATGATCATGATGGTCCTGGATCAACATTAGCGAATCTACCCCGTATTGATGTGACCATGATGGTCCGGGATCAATATTATCAAATCTACCCCGTATTGAAGTGATCATGATGGTCCTGGATCAACATAAGCGAATCTACCCCGTATTGAAATGATCATGATGGTCCGGGATCAACATTAGCGAATCTACCCCGCATTGAAGTGACCATGATGGTCCGGGATCAACATTATCAAATCTACCCCGCATTGAACTGATCATGATGGTCCTGGATCAACATTAGCGAATCTACCCCATATTGAACTGATCATGATGGTCCTGGATCAACATTAGCGAATCTACCCCGTATTGAAATGATCATGATGGTCCTGGATCAACATTAGCGAATCTACCCCGTATTGAAGTGACCATGATGGTCCTGGATCAACATTAGCAAATCTACCCCGTATTGATGTGACCATGATGGTCCTGGATCACCATTAGCGAATCTACCCCGTATTGAAGTGATCATGATGGTCCTGGATCAACATTAGCGAATCTACCCCGTATTGAAGTGATCATGATGGTCCTGTATCAACATTAGCGAATCTACCCCGTATTGAAGTGACCATGATGGTCCTGGATCACCATTAGCGAATCTACCCCGTATTGAAGTGATCATGATGGTCCTGGATCAACATTAGCGAATCTACCCCGTATTGAAATGATCATGATGGTCCTGGATCAACGTTAGCGAATCTATCCCGTATTGAAGTGATCATGATGGTCCTGGATCAACATTAGCGAATTTACCCCGTATTGAAATGA